AATGGCTCTGGAGACGAGAGTGCTCAACAAGTTAATATTGCTGTAGTCTCTGTTAGATCAGAAAATTTTTATTAATTTCCATTAATGGATTTTTAAATGTAAAAACTGGACTCTTACCATTATTGGTTATTATAGATTTCCCATATGGTAAATTAGTAAAATCCATGATGTTTAATATTTACCAGGAAAATATGTACCATTAATGGTAAATATTAAACAACATGATTTTTTACCAATTTACGATATGTGAAATCTACAGTAACCAATAGGTATATTAGTAAGATTTCAATTTTTACCTTGATAGTACAAGTCATGATAAATCTTTAAAAACCATTCAAAACTCATTAATGGCAATTTAAAATTGTTTTCCTGTGAGATGTGCAATACATGTACCCTGGAACATTTCAGAATGACAGCTCACAAGAACTGCTGAATTAATTTTAAAAAAAACCTAATTAATTTGGGGTATTGGAACTAGCAGTAGGCGTTGCAATCTGTTGCCCTTGTTACTCTATATAAATATATTATGTTATTTATTCAAAATGTTTATGGGAAAACCATACAATAAGCAGAAATGCAAAAATTGCAGTCCCACAGATTCCAAGTTTCACGCCAGGAGGCCTGGTGCATGGATTATTCTAAGGAAATTTTATCACTGCACAAAAGCACGAAAAATGATAAAATTTATATAAATTTAGTGACATTTTAGAAAACGTTCTGACTGCCATGCATGAGTGCATGTACTCTTTACCTCATGCATGTCACTAATTATATGCAGGCAAATGTGCCCAAATCACCGTTAATGAGCCCAAATCTGCATTCTGCATATTCTATTTCATGCAAAAATGTACACATTTTCACATATTTTTTGAATCGCATGCATGCAAAACACGAAGCAATATTGCTCATTACAAGATCTCACACTCGTGAAATAGATTTATCTATCAACTGTTGATTGTGTAACCAAACTGCGTCAAAAATCTCAAAACAAAATCGCTTGGCAGCAGTTTAACCATACGAAGATGACATAAAAGTGATTTTCTTGAACACGACTTGGCCGCTAGGAGAGATACCCGATCGGAATGAATATGCCACCAAAACATTAGTATATGAATGCTTTATTGATCAAGAGGTCGGCGAACAGTAGATAAACTCTCGGATTGCAATAATTTTAAGTTAAATATTTTCACTCTGTATATTCCCAGTGAAAACTGAAACCCTTTTATGTGGATTATGTGCAAATTAGTATACAAGCAGTAGCCATTTTGTCGCCAATTTCTAGCACCGAACAATATCGCATTTTATCACTGCACAAAATCTAATTTATCACTGCAAAAATCTCATTTATTACTGCACAAATTGGTTATCACTGCACCTTAGAATAATCCCTGGCCTGGTGATTTTAGTTAGAACAAGTGCGAAAGGCAGAGCCTTCACATCTATACAATCCCAGTGCAAGTTTGACATAAAAGTATGATTCTGAACATTAAGTTTAATGTTGTAGATCAGTAATGGCTAGCGCCTCCAGTACAACCCCCATATCAAACGAAGAACGAAGATGGGTTGTCATTGGTGTATGTTTGACCAAAGTGCTCACTCCTGCGTTGAGAAATGTTGTTGCAACTGAAATACCAAAGTGGCATCAACTTTTATGTCAACCACCGACCGAAATCGACAAACAAGTTTTTGGTGGACACCAGAAAAAGTTACACCCATCAACTTTGAACCTCAACTATAAAAGTATCAACAACAATGATGCCATTGGATCACCTCGTGCATTTGATTATGCAGTCAAAGACCCATTGTCTTTGGCAAAGTTATTTATTCAACCATTCATGTCCAAGTTCACTGGCTTCGATCAAACAATGGACATATCTGCAGTCTTACCAGTGATTTGTGAAGCTGCTCCATTTGTAAGAGCTGCTGCCCATGCAAAGACAGTTCGATCAGATATCAGAAACGAGTGGGCACATTGCAACTTTGCTGAATGGACTGAAGCAAAATTTAAAGCTGCTTTTCAAAATATGGAATTTTTACTGAAGAATGTGAATCTGTCACCTGCTGATGAACAGAAATTGTGTGATGAGCTAAATAGCTGGAAAGAAAAAGGTAATACCTACTGTAATATTCAAATATCCCAGATTTGAAATTTAATAGTTCATAGTTAATACAAATTACATGGTGTCGAGATTTGATGAAGACGTTATCAATGGTGGTCTAGTTTTATGCAAAAAGGTGGTCCTTGTTTGTCGCCTGCGTATTGTATTGCATTAAATAAACCAATATCGTTCTTTAAACTGAGGCAGGGGTGCATCCAGCAAGGTTTTTCTAAAGCAAGAGCAGCTGCATTCTTTAAACTGAGGTACTTGGCAGAAATTAGAACGGAAGAGGGGAAGGATAGATCTGAGTTAGATAGGTGTCCGTTTTTATATAAAGGTTTCTTAAGGAAACTATATGAAAATTTAAGCGAAGCCAGCTACATTATTGAGGTTTAAGCTACATTATTGAGGAGTTCGACACTTGGTTCAAAATATTTATTAATTGTCCTTGCTCTTGACTGCCAGTCTGTAGTCTTTAATGGTTAAGTCATAATGAGAATTATTAATGTCCCAATTTGGGAACCGTGGTCTATATTTGAAAGAGGCTCTATAAGTATTTCACCTTATTTCAGGATTCCAGTTGTGTTTTGGTCAACCTGTGGACATTGAAATCTTGACTTTACTCAGAGGTCAAGTAGATGAACTTTGTGAAGCTGTCAAGACATGGAATTTCGAGAAAGCACAGGTTTGAAAATGATTTTTTTTGTAGGTGTATGTTAATACTAAAAGTAAGTGCTGTTAGTTTTGCTGAAGAAAATTGAGTGAAGCGGACAGATTTAATCCATAGACACAACACAACAACACAGACATACAGTAAACTCCACCTACAGTAT